ACGCTTTTTCTTCACGACGGTTACTAGTCAACAAGTTAACAACAATAACAACGTTCTAAGGAGACAAGTAGTAGCAGTAGTAACCGATGAAAACTACAATCTTTATTATTTTATAATAAAAAAATCCTGAGATATTTTTTAAACAAATTTAATCAATTTAAATTTATTAAAAATATAAAATTCAGTAATCACACAAAATTTAATGATTTTTTATTTTTTTTATTTTTAACAATAATTTAGAGTCTATCAACGATTCTTTTGTTCAATTTCTAGAAAAACAAATCTATTTAGAGTTAAATATATTTTTATCCTCTAAAAATCAATTTTATTTAATTTTAGCCCTCCAAATTTATATAATACTCATTTTTTTTATCATTTTTTAAATGTGTTAACTTTTGTTATTAAAATAGATCACTTTAACACTTAAATCATCATTAGTTTTACTAATATGAAACTTTTAAATTTAAAATATTAACTATTTTATGATTAAGTTAAGATTTAGGATAAAAATTAATTTTATACTTAAACTTTTTACTATTTATTTTTGGACCCAGGCATGAAAGTTCTATAAATGCTCTATTTTATTTTTCATTTTTCTATTTGCTTTCATTCTCGATCGAGGAAGTCAATGGTCTCTCATTTTTTAAAGGCATCATCTTGAAGCTTAGGGAGGGAGAAGAAATATCATTTTTAATCCATTTAAATTTTGTCAAGCTCATTTTCAAATGTTTTCAATAAATTTACATTAGACATCATAATGTTATTTTCATTATTACAAGATTGTGTGCCAAGGAATGAAACATGAGGTTGATATTACATGTTGCAATGTAGGAATTAACACATATTGATAGAATATCTTTATATTAACCAATTTTATGTGATATCATAATAGAATTTTCATCATCGAAGGTTTGATGTACGAGATAATATTATTATTAACATATACCTTAATTTTAATAGAGTCAAAAAATATATTAAACTCATTATTGCATACATTAATTTATGAATGTTATATAATTAACTTTTTTCTATTCTTTTTTTTTTAAGGGTTTTTCTATTCTTATAAAATCAAAATAATAATAATCTTAAAATATAAATAAAATATACTTTAAAAATGAAACTAATAAACATACTATTAATATATTAAGTGGAAATAAAGGCTATTTTTGTATTATTTAGTCTAATGGTTGAACTAAGATGAAGTGAACAATAGCTCCATAATTAGCCAAAAATTGACAGTTGAATGGTTAGAGATGTGCAACTAAGTATGAACCATATGATAATTGGTAAGTAAATGTAATGTAACTAATAAAATAATAATAATATAAATCTATTAATATTATAAAATAATAATATCATAAAAGAGCTATTGTGATTGTAGTATTGTTAGTGTTAGTGTGATATAGGAGTATTACACTTATGTGTTACTAATGAAATCACAATATTATAAAATTATATTAAGATGATAATTATAATAATTAAATAATAATGATAATGATAATTTTAATTGGTTCGATTCTCAAATCATCATATTGTAAAATGCAAATCTGTGATCCAAACTAATTAAGGTTGAATTTAATTGGTTTTGATCAAATTTGATTCGATTAAGAAAATAAAACCAAACCAACTTCATTGGTTTAGTTCGGATCATCAATTTTATTGAATTATCTGAATCATTGAACAACCCTAATTGCTACTATTATTATCTCACATTAAGAGTTAATAAGGGTATGATAATAAAATCCTAATAGAGAAATTGTGACCCAATGATAGTTCAAGCCCAATTGTAAGTTTATAAGGAAAGATGAAAAAGAGGGTTTAAGGTTAGATGTAATGAAGTAGAAGAGAGAAAAATAAGAAAATAGGGGAAGAAAGAAAAAGAGAAAAAGGTTAGATACCCAAGCCATATATCTTTTTTGGGGCTTCCTCTTAGTGATTTTTTATCTATTTTATTTTAATGTTTGGTTGGGTTATGAATATTCTGAGTTGAATTCTCCATAGTTCCATTCTTACTTATTCGATTTTCATCCACGACTCCAAATATCAAAGAGATTAAACAAATATTGAAGTGAATGATGCACCACTTCCAAGTGAAAGATAAGCAAAAAATAATGAACTTGCTACAAGGAAAAATTCCTTAACAAAAGTTCTTTAGGAGAAAATTCTCCAAGGCAAAAACAAGAGTTTGAAAAATCTTAAATCCCATTCAAGCATCAAAGTGACAAAAATAGAGGTGGAATACATGTATATATAGAGTTTGATAACTTGTGGTGCAATTTAAGGTAACTAAGGTAGAAACAACCAAGGTTAAGTTAATTATACTTAAGCCAACTAACTTTAGTTTAATTTTGACATTCAAATTTGAATTTTTCTCCTTAAAATATCAACATCTTAGATCTAAAGGGAAAAATAAGAGTTTGCCACATGGCAAGGAGCAAAAGATGTAATGAGGGAATGTGTTAGTAGAAATGGGGTGTAGAAGCAAAGATTTAAAAAAAGTGTGACTAGTATGTGAAACATGTGACTTGGTGAGTGATGTGTGAACCATTGAGAGAGTATGGGACCATAATTTTCATCCACCATGGTGGAGATATGACTCTTCATTCTCTCATAGGCCAAACATCCAGTAAGCATATATGTCAAATATTAGTTGTATCCCTCCTAAAATACTAAATATACCCCTAAAAAGAAAATTGCAAGGAAATAAATTCCTACACTATTTGACCCAAAAATACAATGTCAAAATTAAGAAAATATTTACAATGAAATATATATACAAAGAAGAGAAAATAGACTAATAAAAGTGACCTAAAGCTCAAAATGAGCTTGGGTCTTCTTCCTTCAAGTCTACTCCACTCCTATTGACTCCTTTTTGGATTAACCCCTGAGCATGATGTCATCAATGGTGTTCAACCAAGTCTCCCTAGAAGTTTGGAACTCAACTTTAGATAATGGTGCTCAATCCCTAGGTATTAGACAAAACCTTGTTTTTGTTAATCTTGAAACTAAAATAGGGTGTTTCTATGCTAAGTGTAGGATTTCTATATACACTACAAAAAAAAAAGTTATATACAGTGATATATAAAAAGTGTCACTATAGATACAATATTTATAGGTATAAACTTATTTGACATATAGTTACACACAATCTTAGTATTGATTTTGAATGAGATTTAACAACATATATTGTATGTCACTATAATCTATACCTACACATTTTAATATACAATCATATATTGTATCTATAGTATAAGTAAAAATAGTTTTTAGTGACAAATATAGTGCCATTATAAGGCATGTGTCACTACATGACAATTTTTTTTGTAGTGATATAATTATAGTGAACTTAAATGCTTTTATTATGTGATTATATTAAAGTATTAGTGTCTTAAATTGGGTTTGATTATAATCAACATTTGTTTCTATATGAATGATTGTCTATTGTGAAATTATACTATTTTGAGCTTGTGTTAATACAAAATATTGTTGACACAAGTGACCTAGTCTATAAAGGTGAGGATGGACTCACTTATACAGTGAAAAGTCTAATGAAACTTGTTCGTGCATGGATATGTGACATGCATCATTTAGCATTGAGTTCAGTGTTGGGGTGAAATATATATGAGCTAGATGGGGAGGTCACAACAGTTTTAACCTGGACCTTGAGAGTTTCTAAGACTTTGTGTGGAAACCCTAATGACCTATGATAATCCCATAAGAATGGGGCGTACTTGCAAAGTTGGGCAACCTTAACTAGTCACCAAGTGGATATCATTCTTGATAGTGCAATCTATATCGAAGGCATTGGGTGTTGATGGATGTAAAGTGTTAGGTGTGTCTCCACCCAAGATTAAACATTAACTCATTGATTGATTAATAAGAAAATAACAACTAATGATTTCTCTTAATTTCAACTATGCAAATTAATACATGAGGATAATTGATTGTTTAGGTATGAATATTCTCCTTGTTTACTCTTAGGAGACTTTTAGCTTTTTTGCTTCCATGAACATAATTGCTCTTATTTTCTCTCATTCTTTTACTATTTCACTTGTTTTTTTGGCCTGTCTATTGTAGTGTATTGGTTTTCCCTTTTTAATGCATTAATAATTTATTAAAAATGCGTGTTGTTGCACCTACTCCTTCCATGTTGTCTACATTTAAGCATCGTAACAAAGTGGAGCGGGACAAGACAGTGGCGTGTTTTACGTTCCTCACCCCCACCTTGATCCATGTTGGGGCTATAATTTGGGTATTCA